TTTAGAGGTTAGACATTTGTCAATAAAATTCAGTGCGAAGAGATTCATTTAAGCGAGCAGTGCTATTTTTTCTTTTGATTAAATATGGAACGTGATAAGTTGTTTTTTCGACATGTGCTGCTTCATTACTTTGACTTGAAAAAAACTGCAGCTGCAGCTCATAAATTGCTTTTCGAAACTTATGGCAATTATGTTCCATCGGGAAGAACATGCCAAGTATGGTTTCAGCGATTTAAGAGTGGTGATTTTGATGTCAATGATAAAGAACGCTCAGGCCAACCGAAAAAGTTTGAAGACACCGATTTGCAGGCATTATTGGACGAAAACTCTACTCAAACGCTCCAAGAATTGTCTGCAGCATTAAATGTTACTCCGATGGCTGTTTCCAAACGTCTACATGCAATGGGAAAAATTCAAAAGGAGGGAAAATGGGTACCACACGAATTAACCGCAAATGCCATTGCGAATCGCTTAAACATCTCTATTTCTCTGCTCGCCAGGCAGAAAAAGAAGAGTTTTTTGTGGCGCATAGTGACTGGCGATGAAAAATGGATATACTTCGATAATCCTAAACGAAGAAAATCATGGGTAGACCCTGGCCAACCATCGACATCCACACCAAAGAGAAATATTCATGGCCACAAAGCAATGCTTTGCATTTGGTGGGATATGCACGGCGTCGTTTATTATGAGCTACTCAGACCGAACGAAAGTATCACGGGGGATCGATATCAATCACAATTAAACCGTCTGAATGAAGCATTGTTGGAAAAAAGGCCAGCAGTAGCCAGCAATCGACGTAAAGTCATGCTTTTGCACGACAACGCTCGACCACACGTTGCCAAAGCCGTCAAAGAAACACTGATGCAGCTCGAGTGGGAAGTTCTCCCGCACCCAGCGTATTCACCAGACTTAGCTCCTTCGGACTATTACTTGTTCCGGTCGATGCAGCACGGCTTGGTGGATACACACTTCAGAAATTACGAGGATGTGCGAAAATGGATCGACGAATGGATTGCATCAAAAGACCAATCGTTCTATCGTCGCGGAATCTACGCGTTGCCCGAAAGATGGGAAAAATGTATAGCTAGCGAGGGAAAATACTTCGATTAATGTATTTTTTGCTTTTGATATCGAAATAAATGAGTTTTTTAAACAAAAAACCGTAGGAACTAAGTTTACCACCTAATATTAGGACCTTGAATAAGTTCTCGCTGATTTTTCGTGAAAATTAATGCTTTATTTAAAAAAAGCCGTAAAAAACATGTCACTGAAAGTATTGTCCATCGCTAGCCACTACTTTTTCCCATCTGTCTGGTAGCATTTGAATTCCATGTCGGAAAAACGACACGTTTTTTGAGGCTATCTAAGAGTCGACCCATTTTTTGGCATCTTCATAAGAATGGAAGTGCTGCTCAGCCAGGCCATGTGCCATCGATCGGAACAAGTGATAATTGGAAGAGGCAATGTCTGGTGAATACGGCGGATGGAGTAGGACTTCCCATTTAAGCGTTTCCAAATAGGTTTTCATCGGTTGTGCGACATGTAGCCGAGTGTTATTATGTTGCAAAATCACTTTGTCGTATCTCTGCTCGTATAACGGCCGTTTTTCCTTCAATGCTCGGCTCAAACGCATCAATTGTAGTCGTTAGCGATCTCCCGTGATGGTTTCGTTCGGTTTGAGCAACTTATAATAAACTATACCCAGCTGATTCCACCAAATGCAGAGCAGAAGCTTCGAACCATGGATATTCGGCTTTGCCGACAATGTTGATGCATGGCCGGGCTTACCCCACGATCTTCTACGCTTAGAATTATCGTAGTCTATGCACTGTTCATCACCAGTCACGATACGATACGCAAAAAACCTTTCCCTTTCTGCCGTTGAAGCAACTGTTCACAGGTGAAAAGACGCCGTTCGACGTCTCTCGGCTTCAACTCGTACGGCACCCAATGTCCTTGCTTTTGAATCATTCCTAATACTTTCAAACGTTTCGAAACTGTTGTGTGATCAACTCCTAATGATTCTGCAAGTTCAGCTAGCGTCTGACATGAGTCTTCATGAAATAATGCCTCCAATTCTTCGTCTTCAAACTTTTTCGGTGCGCCAGAGCGTTTTTTATCTTCAACATCAAAATCATTATTTTTGAAGCGTCTAAACCAATCTCTGCATATTGTTTCTGACAGAACATGGTCGCCATAAGTCTCAACAAGAATTCTGTGTGCTTCAGCTGCAGATTTTTTTTTAATAAAGTAGTGCAGTAAAATTCCCCGCAAATACTCTTTTTTTGGCACGAAATTCGACATGTTTAACACTATGAAAAAAAAAGTTGTTTACACTTCGGCGAAATGACATACACTGAATTTCAAGCTTCCTTATAGATGCGTTATCTTAAACTATACACACGCAGTTCTGGTAACGCCATGTGTTGGAAAACAGCGAGAACTTAATCAAGATCCTGATAGTTCTATGTTTCCATCTATTTTGTATTTTTTAAAATATCTTTTTAAAAAATACACCAAGGAAAATTATCGTGTTTATAAAATCATAATAAGAATAACTTGTTTTAGTTACTACTATTATTTAATACTTTTTATAGTTTAGTTTGTTGTTCTCTTTTTATTTTGCAGTATGAACTTCTTAAGGATCATAAAGCTCTGAACACTGTTCGTGAGCTGCTAGTCATCATACGCATCTGGGGATTGCTGCGTCCATTATGTCTTCCAGTATTTCTTCGTAGCGCGGACAGTCTAGACGTTCTTGCTTTGCTATTTCGCTTGTTGTCAAAACTGGTACAACCCAATGGAGATACACAGCAGCAAGCACAAGTGGATGATGGTTTAATTGGTAAGTTTTTAAAAATTAAATTTAAATAAAAAAATTAAATATTTTATTTCTTTAAACTTCTTGACATATTATGGAACAATATATTTTTACCTACTATATGTATGTTAGATTGTCGGTATAACGATAGTTTCACTCTATGAAAAATTTTATTAAAAAAGAAATTATTATTGAAATTTAACAAAATGATTCTAAAAAAGTGCGAAACATTTTAAAAGAATTCTTTGTCAAAAATTAAAAGAATTTTTTATATAAACATATACTTCTATATCCCTCCTTGAGAAATTACATTCTTTCAAAACAGGGGAAGTGAAAATTAAGTTTTTATTTTTTTCTCAAATACTGGGAAAATTAAAAAAAGAAATTTGCAAAACAAGTTGTCAATCTGATACCCGCCTACTAGACATTTTTAAATTAATTAAAAATGCAATTTGATGTATTATTATGTTGTATATGAAAATATATATATATATTTTTTTTTTAGTTAAAAACTACTAGTTTTACAATAAAAATAAAAGACAAAAGTTTCTAAAGAAATAAAGCTTTCTAACTCATATTTTTGAATAATTACATTCTGACCCGTTAAAAAGTTGTAGAAAAATAAAACATTGAATAAGGATTATTACTTTCATTCCCTTACAATGTGATACAGGAGAATTTAAAAAATATTAATAAATAACCTTTTTTCTAATAAAAAACATCCACCGGATTTCATTTTTTAACTTTTCCAATATTTGAGAAAACAAGTAAAAACTTAATTTTCACTTCTCTCTTTAGAGAAATGTAACTCCTCAGTGAGAGATATAGAAGTATATGTTTATATGAAATATCTCCCTTAATTTTTTACAAAGAATTATTTCCTAAAGTTTTTCTCACTTATTTAGAGTCACCTTGTATATAAAATATCTAACAACGTATATATTTACCTGTATGCGGGTAGAACTCGTCAAACTAAACAAAAATTTTATCATTTTGCAAACAAACACGATAATTGAGATATTAATTAAAGAAAATTGGTACATGAGAGCACGTAATACGAACTTCATAGCAGTGTCGATAGCAGACCGAGTTCTTGCACGTATGTAAAATGTACAAAATACGCTCTCTACGAAATATCAAACATAAGAATAAAAGGCGCAATATGCACAACAGTTTCGGCGGGCTTGGGTAGCGATTAACTTAACCGATAGACACCAATTCGCGGTAACATTACATCAATGTTATAATTTCCCACTCAACAATGTAACTGTTACATAACATACGTGTTATATTGCATTTACATTATTGAATAGGACATTAATATCATGTTACTGGTAGTTAATATAATCAGATAGTATAAACTGGTAATTAGTATAAATAAATATTAGTATAAACTGATAGTTAGTATAATATTTTTCATAAAAGTATTTATGAAAAATGTTTTTCATAAATATTTTTAAATATTTATTATAATCCTTTTTATATTTGAAAATCTTAGACATTTGAAAAAATGTGTTTATAAAATATTTAATATCTATATTTCTAAAACATCTTGTAAATATTGTGTGCTGTCTGGGATGTGCTTGTATATCAGGTCAAATTGAACAAAAAAGTGCTTTATCATTTTGCAAATAATCAGGTAGACTTTTAGTTATTAATAGAAAATTATTAAATAATCGTACGCGATAATGCACAAACCTTCTTTAATTAATATCTAAAAATCTATATGGTTATTTATAAAATGATAAAAGATGTTTTTGTTCAGATTGACCTGATGTATAAATATATAACGGCAAATGGCGCTACTACAGCTCATCTGTCATTTCGGGCGTAATCATTCATGAATCTTCTTTAATATCTCGAGATTTATTGCGAATATCGCAAAATGGTATGGGACTTTTATTATATTTATCTCAATCCGTTCTATGTTCCCATAAAAATTTCGAAGGAGAATCCTGTATATACCTTATATCTCAGACTCTCCTCCGCATATTTTGTGAGAATGTAGAATGGATTGAGGTGAACATAAAAGTCCCATAGTGTTTTGCGATATTCGCAATAATAACCGAGAAATTAATTGTAAGAGATTAAAGAAAAACGCACGCTGAATGGTTGAGGGAGGAGTAATATAGCTCGCGGCCTAATAATATAGCGCGCGAGTGTCAGTGCGCAGCGAGTGGTAGGTCAATGCATCACTGTCTGTAGTTATATCGCTGCATTCCTATATCTCGCCTCGGCGCGGTGCAACAAGACGTAAGAGTGCAGCGATATGAACACAGGCAGTGCTGCGTTGTTTTTCCAATCACCGCGCACCGACATCCGCGTGCTATATTATTAGACCACGAACGCTCCTCCCTCAATCATTCAGCGTGCATTTTTCCTTAATCTTTTAAAATTAATTTCACGATTATTATTGCGAATATTACAAAACGATATAGGATTTTTATGTTTACTTCAACCCGTTCTATATTCCCACAAAATACGCGGAGGAGAGCCTGGGACATCCTGTATATACACATTTAAATATTTATATTTTATATCTCTTTTTACTATCTGTGCATTTCTATTAAAATTAACTAAATTAACTTCTATTAAATTTTCTATTAACTAATGTATGAATAAAACATTAATAAAGAAAGAAAATATTTGCATATTTATAGTATAGGATGTCTTGTAATTCAAGTCTATTATTTACATAGCACTATTCCTAATGAAAAATTGATTCAAGAAGTTCTAAGATATTTTTTTTGACAATGCTTAATAATATAATAAATTTTAAACAAGATCCAACCAATTAACGCTATTTTTTAGACGGACGCACATGAATTTCGTATCTACTAGCGTGCATGGTAAATGAGTCATTATAGCAATATTCTGCTGCCTCGGTTGTATATGTACAGATTCAATTATGAAATAATCGATGATTACTTTTTATAATAAACATGATATTTTCTATATCTTTTTAGTTAACAATTTCCTATCTGAATTGAGATTTCGTCCAGATTTAACGATTTAAGAAAATTAATTCTTCGTAAATAAATCATTTGATAAGTTGTTCTTTCTCTGGAGATGATATTACAAAGGTTGCACGCGGAGTAAGGGGAGTATGAGGTAAGGGGAATAGTGCTAGGCAAAGCAAGTCGAAAAACGACAGAATATACAATGCGAGCTCTGATCTATTAGGTGATAAACTTAGTTCCTGCGGTTTTTTTGTTTAAAAAACTCATTTATTTCGACATCAAAAGCAAAAAATACATTAATCGAAGTATTTTCCCTCGCTCGCTAGCTATACATTTTTCCCATCTTTCGGGCAACGTGTAGATTCCGCGACGATAGAACGATTGATCTTTTGATGCAATCCATTCGTCGATCAATTTTCGCACATCCTCGTAATTTCTGAAGTGTGTATCCACCCAGCCGTGCTGCATCGACCGGAACAAGTAATAGTCCGAAGGAGCTAAGTCTGATGAATACGCTGGGTGCGGGAGAACTTCCCACTCGAGTTGCATCAGTGTTTCTTTGACGGCTTTGGCAACGTGTGGTCGAGCGTTGTCGTGCAAAAGCATGACTTTACGTTGATTGCTGGCTACTGCTGGCCTTTTTTCCAACAATGCTTCATTCAGACGGTTTAATTGTGATTGATATCGATCCCCCGTGATACTTTCGTTC